TATGCAAATGTATCGGTACTTACAGTCTTTGGCCTTTGAATCCGTCTTGCTATTTTATTGCCCATAAGATTAGTCTTTAAAAGGTGTTGCTGGGAGTATCTGGATGATATGGAAGCAGAACTTAGGGAGTATTGAGCTCGGGATATAAGGCCTGTAATGTTAAAAATATTAAATTATATCTCTGATTGCAATGTACAGGTCTAGATGTAATTCATAAAATTTTAAAACTTAAAATGGGCATATAATTCAGCTTCATTAATTTTGAGTCCAAAATGTCAAAACTTGGATGGTCTTTTGTCTGAGGGTCACATGACCGAATGAAAGAGAAAGAGATGATGGGTGACTTGGACAATTGTGGGTAGAAGTAGACAGACTGAGAGATATTCAAATTAATGGGACTTTTTAATTAACTGGATTTGCTGGGTGAGGAAGAATAGCTCCTAGATTTCTGGCTCAAGCAACTGGATAGATGTTTATTTTACAGTGGATTTTGTAATCCTGGCACATCTGTGCTCAATAGGTAATTGCTGGTTACAAGATTAAAAGGATTGATGTGTGACAAATATGGGTGTGTAGAGAGGAAGCAAATAAAGATCAGTTCAAGGCTCCTGAGAAGGTAGGAGCAGTGGGCTCTTATCACCAGGACTGGCCCAGGGTGGAAAAGGGCACCTTTACCATTTTGACAAGAGAGAAGGAGAAGCAGCCATGTATGGACATAGGTAGGCTGGAGACTGGAAGTAGAGTTTTCATTTAGTGGCTTTTAACTTCTCTGTGAAACGGGAGGCGAAGCGTTGGAGGGTGAGGGGCGGCGAAGCGGGAGAAGGGCTGTGTCTAAACGTCTGAAGAGATGAGGAATAATAAAAATATTTGCTGAGAAGAACAAGTGAGCTGACCCACTCTCAGCCCTAGAGGAGGGGAGGACCACGTGAGCAGAGGGAAAAACCACCAGGCATCTTAGTATCTTTCTTAAGTGATTTGTTCAAAACTGGGCACATGAGCCTAGTTAGCCCAGTCAGAGCCCGATTCTTCTTAACCGTCCCATCTCTACTACCCACTTCTGCTGTGCGAGCTGGAACACAGGACGGAAGTTATGTGGGAGCAGCCATCTTGCTCCCCAAGGGCCCGCTTCCTCTCCGCTCCCAGCATTCTCAGAGCCCCGGGGTGGAGGGAGAAACCAGGCCTTGTGAAATAGTTCAACCCTTGGTCAAACTAAATTAAGCCAGTCCACTTCTGAACATTGCACAGTTTTGTCAGCCAGTTGATTTTTTTTTTTCCTGAAGCATTTTGAGAATGACTGCACGAGAACAAATTATAGTTTCTCAGGAGTTGCAAGATCCTAGGGGAAACCGTGTTAATACCAAGCAAGTAAATAGAGCTCACCCCTTCACTCTGTCACCACTTCTGATGCTTCTGATGCGGGGAGCAGGGAGGCTGCTGCTCCTGCCCCCAAAGAAAGGAGCGACCTGAGCCACCTGACTTTTCCTGCTGTAACAACAACTGAGAAAGGAATGGGAACTGCCAACTTTACCCTTTAGCACTAAAGGATAAGTGACATCTGCCTGTCCCTTTGGAGTGCTGGGTACTATATAGACAGATATGAGCCGGTCTCTTCCCTCTGATGAATCTACAAGTAGGAAGTCCTCAGCAAACCCTATTCCTGTCATTGCAAATGGGGGCAGATGGGGACAGATGAGGGCCAAGGCTGGGGAGTGACTTCTACCTCTCCTTCCTGGGACAGAGGTTTCTCTTTCACTCCCGCCACATCCTCAGTCTTGGGAATTAGGACTCCCCGCCTTGTTCCTCATGCCCCATGCCAGTTCTCCTTTATAACTGTGCAGGTATTGAAGAACATGGATGTCAATTTCATAGGACACATTAACGCAGAAAGGGATTAAAAAGATGCTTGGCCGGGCTGGAGGCAGAGGGGAAAGGGAGAGACAGAAAAATCCCAGGGCATATGGAGAGGACTGTGACACACTCAGGGTCAGAGTCCAAAATAGAGCCCTTGGGTGCTCTTTATGTTCTTCCTCTGGACCCAGCAGTCACATGGGCAGGGAGGAGGGCCTCGGGACTTTAGGACAAGCACCGCCCTGCTCTTGATAAATCTAGAGTAACTTGATCTTCGTGTCTGGATCTTTGAAACTGATCTTTCTACTTCTGAAAGGCTGTGTTTTTTCATAAAATTCACACTGGTAAGTAGCCAAAAGTAAACACAGATAAAGTACAACACACATATGAGAGTATAGTAGCCAATATTTGCACAGTTAGTGCTACTATACTATGTGCCAGACATGCATTATTTCATTTAAACCTCAGAATATGCCTTTGAGGTGGATATTCTCATTTTATGGAGAGGCTAATTAACCTGTCTAAGGTCACATAGCTAAAAGTGTCGAAGCCAGGATTTGAACCTTGAATGTCTTACTCCAGAGCCCCCCACACTCAATCAGCAGGTTGTCTACACTACAGAATAGAAAAGTAGAAGGTCAGCTGATCTTAATAGGCTATTCATGTTTACTGATATTTGCTTATATATTTTGATAGAGCTGGAAGAGAATTTGGAATTTATTTAGTTCTCATAGGAGAAGAAGCTAGTTTAGAGACACCATGGGGCGTGGCCGTGGCTCCATGCTGCTTGTGGGCCATACAGCCCAGAGGGCTGTTTTAATTGCCATTTCCATAAAACTTCTCAAGCTCCCAGCATCCAAGAATCATAATGGACTTTATGAATAACATCTGAGAAGTATGGTCATTAATGTCCCAAGGCGTTGAGATGCTTCAAAATCCAGTGAAGTACCCGATGTTTTTTAAGTGGTATATTAGACACTCCTGGGATAGTTTTTTATGATTGAAACCTTTTAGTATAGGATGGCAGTACTCCAAGGAGAACTAAAGTAGAATGTTCTGACTGCAAATTAGAATTAAGGTTTATTCATTCAGGTATCATTCATTCATTCAACAAATTTCGTGGCACACCCACTCAATAACCCATGGGTCATTATGGCTAGTCCCTGAGAATCTCCCCCAACTCAGACCCCAAGCCCTCAGAGCAGAGTATCTGCTTACCGCCTGGTGAGCTCATCGGGACAGAGGCTCTCACAGCGTCGTCAAGCCGACTTTGTAGCTCTTCTACACGCTGGAAAGCATCCAGCTTCATGGTGCGCTCCTGGGCAAGCCGGCTTCTCATCTGACGAGAAAGAGCTTGGGAAGCAGAGATTCTTTTTGGTGCATACACAGTTCTCAGGGTTCCTAGGAAGTGTGTGGGTCTAGGCCACCCCAGGAATATAAGCCTTCACAAAGTCCTGGTCAGGCTGAACTCAGCTTTCTGAGATTCAAGAGCTCTAGGAAGGCCAAAAACTTAACCAAAAAAGAGCAGAGGCAGCCCTTGGAATCCCCTATTACCTTGTAATATTCAGGCATTTACTCACAAAAGTGATAGATTTTATGTTCACCAGAGTGGGAAGGGAGCAAGAGGAGTGGGGAGGGCCCTGTTCACAAAGGACCTTGTTGGCCAAGCCACCCCAAGTAGATGTAGGAGCCCCTGAACAGTTTCAAACAGAGGAAAGACTTGATCTCTCTCCCAGATCTCTATCCTCAGCTCATCATCTGCTGAGAAAGCCCCGATGCATGATATAAAGCCCACGTGTGGAAGCAAACTTTGTGTTTACTCATGTAGCTGTTCCCTGCACAGCTGACCCAGAGTGCCTGTCCAGAGAGTTGCTGGGTCCAGAGTACACCTCATCTGCAGAGATCACAGGTAATTTTTCTTTTGAAATTTATTTTTATCTCCTATTTTTTTTAATTATAAAAAATAATGCTATCATAGTAGGTTGAATAATGTCCCCTGAAACTTCATGTCTACCTGGCCCCTCAAAACATGACCTTATTGGAAAAAGTCTTTGTGGATGTAATTAAGATGGAGTCATGCTGGATTAATGGTGGGTCCTAAATCCCATAACTAACGCCTTTATAAGAAGAAGAGAAGGTACATATACACAGAGAGACATATAAGGATGAAGGCCATGACAAAAGAGGCAGAAGCTAGAAGAAAGGTGTAAAACAGATTCTTCTTTAGAGCCTTCTGAAGGAACCAACACCTTGATTTCAGACTTCTCACCTCCCTAACTGTGTTATTTTAAACCACCTAGTTCGTGGTAATTTGTTACAGCAGCTGTGGGAAACTTATACAATGCTAATTTAAAAAATTCAGCCACACATGTTTTCAACCTTATTCCTATCTGTAGAGACTCAAACATAAGGCCCCTGAACTCTCAGAGCTGTGACCACAGGCTTGTCTTACAAATGTTAAAGGGGTGGTTCCTTGTATATGTGGATACTTTCAAGTGTAGTTTGACTTTCAGTAGATGTTCAGATCCCCAGAGTTAGGAAAACTTCCTAATATAAACTAGGTCCAAGGTCCTTTTATATACTATGGGCAGGAGCCATGGGAAACATATCAAGACTCCCTCAGCCAGGCAAGAGTTAAGCCAATTTGAAAAATATAAGCAAAGGAAAGGAACATGCTTAATAAGGATCTTGTGTTAGCAACCCCTTCCCCGCACTTCACAGAGGTAGGTCCAGTGACCTGCCCAAGGTCACACAACCAGTTAGTGGCAGAGCCAGGATTTGAATCCAGGGCTATCTACCTGTTCCCAATAAAATGACAATCAGCCAATATTTATAGAGATCTTTGTATCAGTTCCTGTTCTAAGTGTTTCATTTCAATTAGCTAATTTAATCTTCCCTCAAATCCCATGGGGTGAGTCCATTATCCTTCATTGCACTGATGAGAAAACTAAAGTGCAGAGAAGCCACAGACCTTGCCCAAAGTCACACAGCTGGAGGACCTGGGAGTGTGAATCAGGAAGTCTGGTTCTAGGACTTATACTCTAAATGACCTTCCCAGGAGCAGGAAGTAGGCAAGGCCTTTCACGGTCTCTAAGATCAGAGGGTCAAAATCCACCCTTGGAATTCGAGGCAATGGATTAAAGAGGCTACTGCTGGCCATGGGGGCTCTTGCTGGCTGAGGCTAGATTGTTGTATGGGGTCCATAAGCCCGGGGCACATGAGCTGCCAGGGCAGTTGGAGGGGTAGTTTAGAAAGGTGGAATGATTGTTTTTACATAGAAATACTAAAAACATATATTTATTTAGAGAAACCTCAAAATATTTGTTTTGACTTCTTTTAGAATCTCTGCCGTTAAATAAAAATTAACTATTAACTAGAGAGGACTTTGAGAAACTACTTCATGAACCTCCCTATTTTGTGGTGACTTTTTTAAAAAGCGTAATTCGAAGGACAAATATATGACACTAAATATTTCTTATGAGTTTAGTCATATTTTAGTTTACTTTTCATGAAATAAATGTGAAATTCTAATTTTCTTTTAAAGTTACTAATTTTCTCTCTATTTCTATAACAATATTTCCTCTCATGTTTCCTCAATTCAATTTTTATCCTTTTTTTAAAATCATTTTTTAAGGTAGAATTCTCCTTACTGATCTTCTCTTTTAGCACTTGAAACAGCTGCCCAATAATTTAATTTAACTTTCCAATTTCTCTTTTCTAATATCTCTGGCGAATTAATAGATTTATTCATTCAATGAATACATGTGAAGCGCCTGCTCTGGAAGTGCTGTTTCTTTTTCTTTTTGTATTGAATTACATTCTGTAGTCTCCTTTGTTGAAACTCGAATTAATCCACATCTACATTATATTATTTTCTCCTCTTTTTTTTTTTTTTTTTTGCTGTGGGGTATATTTAACAAAAATATATTATGTCTGGGAACCACAATTGTCTTTCCTTTTTGTCTCTGCAGTTCTGGAAAAACCATAAATAAAATCCCCTTATCATAGCTTCTATAATACTTGTTGCTTTTCTAGATTGTCAGAATTTCATAAAGGCTCCCTAGTTCAAAGTTTAGAGCCAGGTGGAAATAATGCTTTTCAAGTGGGTTACAAGGGTGCCAAGATTCTGGGTCTTGCCATCATCAAGCCATCATCTCTTGCCATAAGCAACCTGAGCAATCATCCAGTGTGGTATAAATATTTTCATTTTCCTGGTGGGCCTAGAAGTGACAAAGGTGGAGAAAGACTGCCATGGAAGACATGAGAGGCAGGGAAGACTGAAACGGTTCTGGCTGGCGCACCCCGATTCACTTTTCGGGCGGCTGCTATCTCTCAATGGAGTTACCTGTTGGACTTCTCTCTGAGTTTTCTTCCTCTGAAGCTGGCCCAGTTTAGAAGCCCTCTCAGCCTCTTCAGTAAGTATCCGCAGGTGCTGTTCCCTTTGCTCCACATCTTCCAAGAGCTTCTCCATGCTGGAGGTTTTCAGTAAATCCAGCTGCTGCCGGTGGAGAGCTTCCCGGGTCACTCTGTGCTCTAACTCTTTCAGCAATTGAGCCTGTGGCAGAAAAAGGCCAGAGGAAATGAGACAGAGTCTCTCTTCTCAGCGTAAAACAGGGAAGGACAGGTTGGCCAACACAACTGTCCTTTCCATTAGGGCCCCGGGCAGAACTGTGTGGAGTGTTCCTCAGTTCAAGATAATACAGCCCCAAGCTGTTCTGTCCCGTGCCCGCCAGCAGCAAGGCCACCCAGATTCAGGTCAGCGTGGTATTTAATGTAAGCCCTGAGGCAACAGTCAGGGGAGAAATCAGTTAATCAATCAATCAATCGATCGATCGATCAAACAAACAAACAATACAGTAATACCAGGTCAAATAATTTGGCCTTTTAATACCAAAATTTGATGATAATGTATATGTTCATTAGCTTACTAACCAAATAGTTGTATCTATCACAAACTACATCTGCATTGTCATTGAGCGTTTGTCATGAGAGAGCAGGGAAGGGTAACCTGGGGAGACAGGGTGATGCAATACATGCAGTCAGTGGGGAAGGGAGATTCTAATCTTGCCTTGTTTTGACTTCGAAAATAGCTTTGGGGAAGCCAGACTCCAGATGGCTAAAGAAGGAAAACAATAGTAATAATTTGTTTTTTTGTCCTGAAATTTTTATAATCAGTAGCAATGTAAGTACTAGATGGTCAATTCTTAATTATAATAATAATAATGATGATTAATACAACAGGTCCTAGAATAACATAATTTTGTTCAACGTCGTTTTGTTATAACGTTGATGAGATGTCGTAGGAACTTAACTCTTGTTTATATGAATTAACCCATAGTAAAGTTGGTTTTCTTACATTGTTTTGCTTAAAGTCACAGAACCTATCAATGACATTAGGTGAGGACTGACTGTACTTGCATGGTGATTTTACAGTTTACATAATTATAAACCATAATCACCTGGTACACAATGATGGAGAAATTAACATCCAAAAGGAACAAATTATATCTCCTATTTTAAATATGATTTGCTTTCTCTGGCTCTTATTTAAACTCAGCAGTCTCTCTCTCTCTCTCTAGATCTAGGGTCTCTGCTTCCTTTGTGCTGAGCAGGTTGGCACAGTTATTAAGAGTTTAGACTTAGAAACACCTTTATTTTGGTGCCAGCCTCTATTGAGCAGCAGTAACTTCTGAAATGAAGACTTAGCATGTATCAGGAAAGGACCTAACAAGCTCTGCTTGGGGCATAATGCTGACAGCAGAGACACTCCCCGTGCAGAGGGTTGATGTCAATGGAAAGCATGCTTGAAGCATGAAAGGACTGTATTAAAGGCAGAGACCTAGACCCCAAGATGCTCTGGGTGAAAAGACACACACACACACACACACGCACACGCACACGCACACGCACACACACACACGAACAATCTTCTGTATAAGTAACATTTCACCATCTTAGTCAATATGAATAAGAACAAAAGCCTTTTGGCCACTGCTCATGGTTTTGGGGTTGGAAAGGAGGGAGAAAGGAAGCTGAGGTCCAGGACATCTTTTCCTGGCAGTGCCATCTGCTCGGCTTCACGCCGTGGAGCTCCAGTGACTGCTGTGGGCAGCATGGGCTGCTTCTAGTTGCCACATTCAGCTTGGCAAAGCACAAAGAGAGGGAGGAAGAGAGGTTCTGGTGCTCATATACCTGGCTGTCCCGCTGCTTGCGCATCCTCATGTTGTCGGCCTGAGCCCTGGCCAGGGCCTGCCTTAGAGCCTGTAACTGTTGACGAAATAAAACCACTTCTTGTTCTGCCATTAGCTTGATGCTCAAACACTCTTTTTTATTTTTCATAGCTTCCTGTGAATATCCCAAACACAATAATTAGGAAGTAAATCTCCTTCCCATATTTTCAGTTTCATGGGCTCCATCATCCACTGTTCTTTAAAACTTCCGGTAGAACGGAGCCCCTGCTGCTCACTGCCTCCATGATTTCAGTTAGGAACGGTGTGACAGGTCAGAGCAAACAAAGACTTTCAGAAACAGTCAGTGAAAGTTTCCAAACCACTATGATATGTGCTTTGGTTTCGATTTGCCTTAAAGCAGATTTTCCACTTACTATTTTGTTACTTAATTTTCCTTGGATAATCATGTTTGAGACTCAAATATTTGCAGTATTTTGATGAAGCTGCCTCAAGCCCTTGGTGGAGTCTGTCCTCTATCTACTCCTCCCTCATGCTGACCTCTCTGATTTGCTCTCCCATTTACTTCTTTACCATTTGCTTCTGGGCTCGCTCTTATTTCATCTGAGGTTCTGATATCACCCATTCCCAAGAAAACTTCTCAAATGTCAGGTCCTTTAAGATGGTTGGTCCTGCCCCCCAACAGCAGAACAGCAGCTGCAGCCAAGGAGGCCAGCCCGCCAAGCCCCCTGCCCCTCCAACCCCTGAGCCGGGCCCTCCCTCCCCGAAAGCTCACCTTCTCGGCCCTGCCCAGTTGGCCCTGGAAGCGAGCCTGCTGCACAGCCAGCCTCCAGCGGCCCAGGCTCCTCATTTTGCACACCAGGGTGGTCAGGTTGCAGTTGTCCTGTTCCAAGTCCCGCAGCTGCTCCTGCTAAGAAGGCTCACTTTAAGAAAAGGCTCCCCCTACCACTTTTCTCGGGAAGGGCACGGATCCTAACGTCAGAAACATGACTTCTAGGAGATGACACACGATTGTGCAGTGAGCCCCAGTGCCCCTCTTAAATGCCTGATGCAATGCTTTCTCAGGGAAACCAGACTGGAATGCAGACGGACTGAGCGGTGGGGGCAGATGCTAGGAAGAAGTGCGAATATCCCATTGCTAAATGAAATCACATACTTTGGCTGGGTTTTCTTTTGTTCCTTCATCAGGTCTGGCAGAGCCCCATTTTTTCTTCAGGTCCTTCACATGATCAATCCCTTCTGTTCTCACTTCACTGATGAGTTCGCATACTTTCTGGATCAAATTAAGCTGATTCTCATCCAGCTTCTCCTACAAATTGCAGACTCGAGTTTAGGAAGGGCAGTTGAGGAAGAGTCATTTTGCCTTCTAAAACTCAACTTTCAGAAATGATTTCCCATTAAAGAACCAGCCACCCAGACAATTATTCCATCAGGTACTGTCTGGAAGTCTCGCTAGCGACGCCTTTGTGATGTCTTCAATCCACAGCTTCATCATCTGAGAACCTGCCTAGGTGGTCAGACACCAAGGCAAGTTGAGTGGGGAGAAGAGTGAGAGGTCACCAGTAGAAAACCGAATCACCGCCCCCACCCCAAAACACACCCCCAAACGGTTACTTGGGAAGGAAAACTTAGAGACTTTTGCTATCAGGTTGACTCAGCAGACTCTGACCTGATAAAACACTGTAGATGAGCCACGAACGAGGAACTCCATTAAAAATAGATAAAGCAGGGGAAGGAATCAGGCTGGCTGCCATAGTTAGGCTCCAGCAGAAACCTCTTTACAAAGCAGCCTGTTTTGAACGGTTTATGGCTAATGGCATAAGGTAAATGATCATTGGTGAGAACCACTGGAGACCCAGTGTTCTTGGGTGAGGGGTGAGAGCGGGATGTCCTCTCACTTTTGAACAACTCCCTGGAAAGGAAGGCAGGAGGATAGTGCCCGACTGGAAAGCCACAGCAAGAAGCCGGGCTGCTGGCCACACAGCAAAAGTTTCACTACCTTTTTAGGACCCTGAGATAGAATAGGGATTTGCTACTTTGGAGGTTTGTAGAGCTAGTTTAGCCTGGGAGAAATAGAGAATCCACTTTTTGTCTAGGAATCTCACAGAAGCTAAGAAGAACTTAAGACATTTCCAACAATTTCACATCCTAAAAATGGCTTAGCAGATTCCAGCCTTTACTGTCTGCTCACCCTCTCCTGCAGCACCAGGCCCAGTGCATTTGGGTTTTGATCCTTTAATATTTGTAAGCACTTGTGCTGTGTGAGAGCCCTTTACAAGTAAGAAGGAATCTCCGATCCTCTCTGGAATGACCAGGCCAGGGTAGAGCATCGGTAGAAGCTCCTCTCAGTGTAATAGCCCAAAGGACCACCCTGGAATCCCCAGGAGGGATAGGAGTAAGAACACAGCTGAGGCCGGCTTTGGGGAACATCCAGTCATAGGGAAGGCAGCAGTGGACTGGGGTGGGGGGTTTGAACTGAACTTCACACTTGTGGGACAACTGGCCCAGGCTCTGTGATGGCTCATCATAGGCATGGGGCCTCCATCTTACAGCTGCTCAGACATCATAAAGAAGTGACAGGCTTCCACAGCCATGAGCACATGAGCACCTCATCACTCCTCTTCTAGATGGGCCTTCACTGACAGGTCAGCAGCTCTCTGACAACGGATGTTAGAGAAAGGCTGGGGGGTGGCAGCATTTTGAGGGTTGGAAAAATCTCTGAAAGCTGATTCAAAATTTGAATCTGCCCAGTGAGCTTTCAGAAGGTGCCTGTTGCTACCCTCACTGGGGTCTGACCTGGCCCAGGGCCCTGTCCTCTTCTGTTTGGATGGTCACGGTCAGTAGATAAAACAGTGAAATAAACTACTGGGGTTTTGGAGAAGAAGAACCATCACCAATTCGCTCAACAGCAATAAGACGGCAGCAGCGGCTACTGGCAGTAAGGAAAATAGCGACTATCTAAATTACCTAAAATTCAGTGTCTATCATGGTAAAATATTGACTACCCCACTGCCGACTCACTCTCTCTATAGAGAAAACTTAGAGCCAAAGAATTCTTGGGCCCAAAAGTCTCCTGTGTCATTAATCCCTCTGCAGCTGCTGTGGGGGGTCAGTTACAGCCACTCCCTGCAGGACTGCCCTGATGTCTGACACAGGTCGCCGACTTTTATTTTTAAATTTAATTTAATTTAGTTTTTTGGGTCACTTACTTTTATTTGTAAACATGTCATAAACAAAGCTTGGACTAAAGTTTCATATTCTTCTTGGACTTCTTTTCTAATCTGCTTTTGAAGGTTCAGATTCTCCTCTTCCAAATCTGTGAGTCGGGCTCTCAGAGCAGTAATTTCCATGATCATATTATGACTGAGCTCTGCAACCTAGCAGCAGAAATATATTTTTGAAATGGGTGATAGTTCAGGAATTCAAAACTGCCACCACAATTTTCACTTCTATTTTGAACCTAATGAAGAAGGTGAATATCCTGTTTTACAAATGCAGGTGGAAGAATCTAGGTTGATTTAAGGGTCCTAGAAGTACCAAACACACAGTAGGTGCTCAATAAATGGTTGCTGAATGAATGGCCCCAGAAGAGACACTACTTGGCATTTTTCATTTGTAGATAAAAATAACAAAAACCACCAGTAAAAACAACAACAATAACAACAAAAACGAAGGGGAAAAAAGCCCTTGTTGCTTAGAAAGTGAAAGCACCCTCCCTGGGTTTTCTGCAGTGGAACTTCATTGATGAGACTTCCACTGGCCACTCCTGAACGGGGCGCAGGAAAATGACACTAGGAAGTCCCATGTCTGGCTACCACTGAGATTGTGGATTTGAGAAATGGAGAAGAGAAACTTTTTAGTAATAACTGACCTACCTGACCAGCATTGTCTTCAGGTGGACGCTGACTTCTTTGTAAAATATCTAATTCCTGAAAGGAAGAAAGCAGTGCATGACCAAACTCAAATATTTATTCTTCCAAACATGGCTCAATTCAGTACAACATGCTAACACCTCCTATTTGTGTTAATGGAGCTTCATTTTGATCCTTGGGCTCCACACGGATCCAGGACTGTGCTTCAGGATGCCCAACCCAGAGTCAAAAGACTAAATCAACTTCCAGGTACCCAACTATGATGCAGAGGACCCAACTATGAGGACAAGCCAAACTGGGGGCAAAGCCAAGACTCATTATTTGATATTTTAACGTTTCATTTGATTTTGTTCAGACTGTTGCACTTTTGTTAGGTGTACACTAAAATTACACTGAACCTCAGATGCAGTTCATTTCAAAAGATGTGCAATTTAGGACCGAAGAGGTTTCTTGGATCCTACCCATGGGGTTTTGTTTTAAGGAAGTCTCATCAGTGAGCCCCATGATGTACATCCTGAAGACAGTTTACTCAAGGATCCTGGCTTATTTGCTAGACCAGGAACAGTATACGGTGTTTTGTGTTTGCTGAAGGTGGGAAGGTCAGCTATGCATCTTCTCCAGGGGTCCAGCTCCTTTGTGGCTCACCTCTTATATTCCCCACTAGACGCCTCCAAAGCACACATCCCAGTGTTGCTAGGGCCATCACCTTTGTGGCTGAGGATACCAGCTCAAGAAAATGAACCAGTGAGAAGAGAAATTCGGAGAGTACCATTCACTTTCAGTTTTTACATAAGAACATACCCCTGCAACCTTTTTTTAAAAAATCTTTTCAGAGTGACTCCTGGACCTCCCTACCCACACCTTCCCCATTGCAATTCTGGTCCTCGGGAACATACTTGCTCCTTCTGACAGAGCTGCTGCCTAGCATGTTCCAGCACATGCTCGTAACACATGGAGTAGCTCTCAAAGTTGCTGCGTTCTCTGGCCATCACATCACAACCCAGGGAAAGGAGGCAGGCCTCAAGGTGGTCTTTTTTGAAAGTGATCTGAAAAGGAAGGACATCATTCACAGCAGCTCCAGCAGGGCAGCCTCTCCGTGCCAGGGCTCATGGCACATGTTCCCTTGGCTCACAGATACACTTCCACTTCTCCAGAGAAAAATATCAGCTCTATCCTTTCACGCCTCTCTTTTAGGTCTGCTCTCAACATTTGCTGGACCAGGGACAAGAGTACAAACGGAGGCCCACATACCGTATGTCTAAATATGCTAAATATTTAAAGGTTATAAAACAAACTAACAAACTATTAAAATGGAATGGTTTAATTCTACATTGGAAAATAGACTTTCAGAAATGACTTGGAAGGCAAAGTTTGAATCTGTCATGCTTGGATTACTCTGAGTTCTATGTGGAAATGTGGTGACTTGGGGACAGATGGTCTCCACCCATAGTTTATAGTATGACCCCCATCTTTTCCCCTCTCAGGCCTCACATCATACTGTGGAGGGCCCTTGCGTGCATGTAAGTGGACATCCCAGCCATCCACACCCCTTCGCAGCTGCTCTGAACCACCCCTCAGGCTGGGGGTGAGCTCAACTCCCTCTCCAGGGAGGGTGATCTGGGGAAGAGGCCCTGGACTCAGGGAATTCCAGGGTCCCAGGTACTTGAGTGTGATCGAGAAGGGAGGCCAGGGATCTGAGTGTGCAGGCCCTTTGGTTGTGTGAATTTCTCACCTTGTAGGGATGGGCGGGGCTGGAGGAAGGCCAGCCCTCCGAAGTATCGCTCTGGTTGAAGGGTCATACTGCTCACTCTCTAAGCAGTCCCATTCTCTCCCTTTCTCTGGGAGACTGGGCACCCTTTTTGAAGAGGTAGCCATTAAGGAACAGAGGAAAAGTCCATCCCACTAAGGCAGGCTTAGATTTTGGCTCTGGAGAGAAATGGGAGCCAGTATGTGGGAGGTTGATCAGGTCTACCTGACTTGGGCCTACATGTCTCTGTGAATGCTTATGTGTGTCTCTGTGTGTTTATGTCAGTGAGTGTGTCTATATCAGTGAGCGTGTCTGTGTGCATTTGTGGATACGTCTGCGTGTGTGTGTCTGTGTCTTTCTGTAAGTGTCTGTGTATGTCCTTCTGTATATCAGTGAGTGTGTTTGTGTGTGTATCTGAGGGTCTTACGGGGCCCAGTCTAAGACCCAGCCTGCATGCTTACATGAACTTTAGGGTCAGGAGGGCTCCGTGCTCACTGGCAGTCTGCTACTGAAGTTAGGCTGTCCTTCCAGCCTGGGGTCATTCCCCTGGCTCTGATTCAATCGTCCAGGCAAGGCTCAGGACACTGTCCTATCCGTGCAACCCCAGTGTCCCCACTGACCTCCAGAAAAAGCCCAGCTAGGCTTTGCCAAGGCAAGTTATTGAGGTGAACTAGCAGAGATGGCAAATAGTGATAAAACCCAGTACTGATGGAATGAGGAAAGTGCTCACTCACCACTGCTGATGGGAGGGGAAATCAGTGTGGCATTTTGGAGGGCAGACTAGCAGTATCTAAAAGATTTTAAAGTGTTCATGCCTTTTGACCCAGTAACTTCTCTTCTAGGAATTTATCTTTAGGGAATTATAAAAGGTTATACACAAAAATATATGTAAACAGATGTTCTTTATAGTAGCCTTTCCAATAGAAGAGAAAAATGGAAACAATCTAAAGTGCCTAATAATGAAAAACAGGTTGACTCCATCTCACCCATCTATACAATGAAATACTAAACAGCCACCAAAGTCATGCTGTGGACATATGTTTATCGACAAAGAAACAGATTTATAACACATAGTCGAGGGGGGAAAAGTACACTATAACAAAAGGATGCATACAATAATCCTATTTTGTTTAAAAAAAAGTGCACGAATGAAAAAAGTTATAAAATTTGGAAGGAAATATGCCAAAATAATGATAGTGGTTATCAATGAGGGTATGATTATGAGTGTATTTTCTAACATCATATTTCTATTTTCTAATGTAATCATAAAAAAGGTATATATAATTGTAATGATATATAAAATGTACATATAAATAAAGTATATATTAATTAGAAGATAGTAAAGCTTTTGAAAAGGTCAGCAACCACAGCAGCTTGGCAGGATGCACTCAAGATATGCAGGATGGAAAGAGCAGATGAAACCTCTGCTCATGGGGTATTTTTTGAACAGGAGCCAGGGAGTCAGGGGAAGGCACTCAGCCTCCCACATCCACTCTCTCGGGCCTCCTCGGGGGGCCCTTTTGTGGAGCGGGGGTCAAGGCAATCTATCCTGTCCCTGGAAAGTGAGCAGTAGGACAGCTGGAGTTACCTGCTGACATCAAGGCAAAGGGAACCGAGATAGCACCTCCTGGTCCTTGACTTCTTTATGGTGAAAGGACCAAGATGACATGAATTTAGAAATGACAAAGGAAACAGTTCCTGGACTGACTATGGTGAAAGTCTTAAGGTTTGAGAAGCCATGAGACCGCGTCTGAGGCTAGCAAGATGTGGCCAGTGACCTCATCCAGGTAAGCTGGTTCCAGTGCTTGGAGACAGCCACAGTGACTCATGCCTCACTGTCCTGGCCAGCAGTGCCTGGACTAGAGTGTGCCAGCAGGGCCTCCGACAGTTCTTTAGCAGGGCAAACACTTTTCAAAGTAACGCCACCATAGCCACTGACGATACAGGATCCCAAACAGACAGAAATACAGATTTGAACCACAGTGGCTCCCTGCCACCCCTCTTAGCCAGCATGGTATTTTACCCAGCACAGATGAGGAAAGTATGGGGGAGTCTGCGTTACACTAAGGAGGTGGGAATGGCCAGGACTTGCCTTGAGCATCTCTAGAGGCCAAAGAAGTTGTGCTGCTTCCACTCCTTAGTGGCTCTGCTGAGGCCTCAGTAGGCTGGGCTGAAAGATTAGCTCAAGGGGATGGCACACCGATAGGTGAGTGTGAAGGCAAGGCCCAGCCAGAGCATCCACAGTGGAGACATGGAATGGGGAGCATGCCTCAGGGAGGGCAGGTAGGAAGCTGTGACTGATAAGTGACGCAGAGGTATGGGGAAAGTCCAAAGCTCCCGGCACTCCCTCTTTCCAGGTGGACTTTGCTTCTGGCGCACTGCGTGCTTATCCTTCCAGAAGCAGAATTTGGAGTCATCTGAGTAGCACCTGTTGTGGGACTACTGCTTATGTGGCTTCTGTTGGCACAACCCTTCTGTGAGTTCTCAGAGCAATTTGTTTTTTAAAAGCTGTCTGCAACCCACCCCTGCCTTCCTAGGTCACTTTCTAGGTCACTACTGTGTCAAAATGCAGCAAGAAGGGGCTTTTGCCTTTATATCTCTAACAAAGTAAGAACTTTGGAAAATATAAGAACTCTTTAAACGCTTGTTGAATGAGTGAATGACTCTTGGCACATGAATGAAAATGGTTCTGGAACTCATAAAATAGACTGTTATAGTTCTGATTTGCAATAAAGGCCAGTCTCTAACTTTAGGCAAGTATGTTTGGTACAAAATTTGGGCAAGATGTTAGAATTGATTGTGAAAGTCTGGTTTCTATAATTTGGAGAGGGAAGTCAACATGGGTTCAAGGAAAGTCAGGTCAGATTAACCTTGAGAAATAGAGCAGACGTAGTGTATTTGGATTTCGGCAGGAGAAGTTTGCTCCTGATGTTTTTGGACAAATGGAGAACAGTACAATTAATGGGCTTCTGGCCATCAAAAGACTGTGCCAAAGAACCTGGTCTTCCTGGAGGGGACCCAGAGTGAGTAGCACAGGGCGCAGGACCTGTTCTGTCATACACTGTTATTAATGACTTGAATGAAGATATCAAGGGCAGGCTGACATGAACCTGGGAGAGAGAGTTAGTTGCTGGATGATAAAAATCCAGATTTTTAAAGATTTCAAGAGTTCAAATAGTGGATCAAACTGAACGAGAACAATGCTAATCATATGGCAGCAGCAGGATGCCTGAAGGCAGCACGTGAGCATCAGGTGATTGTTAGTCTAGTAAGTCAGCGTTGACTTGGCTGCCAAAACCCAACACACTCACGGGCATTAATCAAGCACAACACTCAGGACAAGGGCACTCTTTGCTGGCCAGATGACCTTGAATTTAGAGGAGACTGACCAGGATGGTGTGGGTGCTCATATAAAGTGATTGAAGGCCCTGAAGAAGCTCAATCCCATCTGATCTCGGAAGCTAAGCAGGGTCAGGCCTGGTTAGTACTTGGATGGGAGACTACCTAGGAAGACCAGGTGCGGTAGGTGTAAAAAATAAAAAATAAGGGATTGTAAGCTGACAAGGTCCTTAGAATCTGTGAGATCAACCAAGGGTTGCCTTGCCTAAAAAATTTTTAAAAAATTAAAAAAAAAAAAACAGATTGAAGGAAATGAAGATGGGTTAGTCTAGGTTTAGGTCCTCACGTATGCTTTGCAGTCTATGCTCTGCATAGAGACACCTAGGTGAGGGGGAAGCCTGGTATCTGCTCCATTTTTCATGTGCCCTGGCCAGGGCCATAAACGTTCTGGAAGAAGGAGCAATGATTTCTAATCCACTACCCAGAGGTTCATCTGCTCGGGTTTATCCTACTATAGCAGGCCCTTTATTGTAATTTGACGAAGCCTTCATATACACCAGTGATGGTGCTAATTGAGCTTCTCTGACTGACCTACCTTCAGATATCTGAAAGCTTATTGTGAGGGATCAGAAGCATGATCTGTGGTATCCCAGGGACAGAACTAGGATCCACAGTGGAGATGGTGGGGAAGCCAAATCAGCTCAGTGAGCTGCCTGAAACGAGAGTTGCCAGGATCGGGGGTGGAGGGGGAGAGTTTAGAAGAGAGTGAGCTCCTGTCTCTGCAGATGAGATCCAGAAGAGGCTAGAAGCCCACCAGGCACAGACTTTGGAGGGACCTACGTTCTGGGTCCTGTTATTCCAAGACACTGGCAGGCTGATACCGACCTCCTCAATGTGCCCTGGTTTCAGTTGTACCCAGTATGAGTTTCCAATAATCTCCTAATACCCACGTTTCTTTTCTAGAAGATCATGTGTTCAGTGTCGGATGGTGGAGTATGTGGATATCGGATGAGCACATCCTGAGCCACACATTTTTGTTTCTTTTCATTGTGATAAAACGTACATAATGTAAAATTTGCCACGTTAGCCATTTTTAAGTGTACAGTTGAGTAACATTAAGTGCATTCACATGTTGCGCAATCGATCCTTAGAAATCTTCATCTTGCAAAACTGAAACTCTATACCTACTAAACACTAACTTTCTATTCCTCTTCCCCCTGGCTGGTGACAACCACCATTCTACTTCCTGTCTCTATAAATTTGACTACTCTTGTGTACCTCATGTAAGTGGAATCATGCAGCATTTGTGCTTTTGTGACTGGCTTATTTCACTTAGCATAATGTCTTCAAGGTTCATCGCGATGAGACGCGTTTCAGAATTTCTTTCCTTTTTAAGGAGAGCTACAAAGTTTTTTGATTCAAATATTTTTCCGAGCACACCTTGCCCTAATCGCCTTTGTGCCTCTGGATAAGAACCTCTGAGCTGCAAGGACCCAAAAGGAACCATTTCATACCAACAACTTTTCAGAATACACCGTACCACATTCGGGTATAATTGAAAGCTTAAAGCAAATACGTGTAAATCATCAAGTTCTGAGGAAAAATGTATCCCCCACCAAGCTTGTGAATTCTCCACCTATAATTAAGAACTGATATGATTATAAAATTATGGAGAATATTTAAAGAGCTTAGAAAAACATAAATTTGGAGAAAACATTGTTATTTAAAAAATTTTTTAATTGAGCACATTTTTCTAAGTCACGTTTTTAAAAAATGGTTGCATTTCAAACTAAGCTGGGTTCATATCTACCTAATGCACTTATGCTCAATTTGTCAACAACCCTAAAAGCTCTGTCATGGCCAAATATCCACATACACTCCTGCCTTTTCAGTGGATACTTCTGATTTAGAAAGGCACTTCTTGTCAAGAGTAAACAGTTCAAAACTCCAAGAACTGTGTGTATGCGTGTTGTATTAAATATGTATTACATAGAGTTGTTATGGATTCACATATGTATACACAGAAAAAGCTGTTGATGCTGGTTCTCTTTGTGGAGAGGAGCTGGGGATGGTGAAGTGGAGAAAGTGTGAAAATGTTATGGTTCTGAGCTGTTAAGTTTTTTTTTTCCCTATTATATTTGAAAAATGTTTTCTAGGTAGTGGTATTATAGGCTATTTTGGTTGCTCTCTATTAAATATTCTATACTAAAAAAATCAACAATAGGAAATGTTGCTAAAAAGAACTCATTCATTAACAAACTCCAAGACTACTTAAAAAAATCGGCCAAATCTGAAATGAGACAACATGCATATTCTAATTTTTCTCTCATCTTTATAAGAAATCAGTCTTTTTCGAAAATTAAAGTGGTAACAAATGACTACTACTTTGAGTTCATCTTCAGTATTTATTCAAATCTTCATTCAATGGGAGTAAGGGAGGGGAGCATTAGAAGTTGTAGTAGGAGAAAGTCTTTTTTTGTTTGGGTTTATGTCACACACACATACACACACACACACACACACACACACACACACACACACACACACTCCAGAATGACTAATTTTTTAAATACATACCTCTAGTCCACCGTCCTGGTAATTCTCCATTAATCTCTGTATAAAATTTTCAACTATTTGTGGTCTGATAACTGAAAAGTTTTCTTTCATGACTCGGTGTTTCCAAAGGTCTAGAGGGAGAAACACACCAACACTAGTATCGTGAAACACGGAACCACCATGAATAGCTATGGAATGGCAACTTTCCGAGACAGCACTGGACACAGCTTAAACTATTATTTCCAAATACACAAAAACTAGTAGGTGAGGTCGGGGAGAGGAGAGATGGTTGAGGACACGAGATCCTCCAGAACATGGGAATAAAAAAGATGCCTAACAAGATTTCTAATGAAAAGATTTGGAAAAGCATGTCTAAAGGCAGTGAACAATATTCTGTTACCATAACTGAAAATCCTGAGTCAAATTTTATTATTGATCCTACTTGACATCTATTTTCATAAAGTTCCTATATGTATCTGAACAATTATTTTGGCCTAACACAACCATCAGAAATAAGTGACGAGCTATTACATGTATGTTTAAGTAC